GGATGCACGCACATATATGTCACATCTTCTGGGAAGAAATTGAAGATAATCTTGAGTCTTCTATGTCATGAACTAAAGTGATTCGCTTGAAAACTTTTAATCTATTTCAAGTTAGGTGAAGGAGCAAAATGCTTTGTTTCTGAGACTTCTGACCTCTGTAATGTCTGCCTGGTGGTTTAAAATGGAACAAGAAAGTTCTAAATTGAACATGTTCTAAAAAGATTATCTCCAGAAACAAGAAAATTTGTTATACAGATCAATAGTGTGCCACTTTTTAATTTTGAATTGATATTTCTTCACAAAAACCACCACATTTGATAGTGAGTTTAGTTTGCAACCAAAATGCCAAAATATTTTTATTGTACACACTGGCATAAGCTGAGAAAACCTGGATTTCTGCTAGAAGAGCCAAGGAAGCAGTGAATGGAAAAATAGCTAGGAGATAGATGTAAGCCTGTTAAAAAAAAAAAAAGTGCTAACACCTTTTTCCGTGACTTATGTTGGGAGATAGATGTAAGCCTGTTAAAAAAATGTGCTAACACCTTTTTCCGTGACTTATGTTCCCTTTGGGTGGCTTATGTTGGTCTCGTAATTGCTGAAGCTTACATAGAGCTAAGGTTCATCATTCTGATGTGTGGAAATGTGTGCTTAGTGATTGAAAATTTATTTTCTTTCTTGTTTTAGGAATATATGGATCCTATGAATGAATACAATGCCCTAAATGAAGCGAAGCAAATGATAGCAGTAGCAGACGAAAATCAAAACCATCACTTAGAGCTGGAGGAGATCCTGAAATATAGTGAATACTTCACAGGCAGCAAGCTTATGGACTATGCACGTAACGTCCATGAGGAGTTCTGATCCTGCTCACTTTTCCAGAGCTCTGAAGCACTTTCCTGCTTTCAAAAAAAAACAAAAGAAAAAAAAATCCAACCCCCAAACAGACAGAAAGTTACTTTGCTGCTATCTGTGTTATATGCCTACAGTGTGTTGTCCTAGACTTAAAAAAAACTTCCGTCCATACATAAGATCTACAGCTCTGTTGCCTTCAGTATGAGGGGAAAAAAAGGTCCGTAAATAATGGGGCAGGTACTGGACTACATCAGTTTGCCCTGGTTTGTACAGTTAATCCAGCTGAAGTTTCAGCTGCTTTTGGCTAATCGTTATTTGGTGGAGGCTTCTTAAATATTTAACTCTTCTTGTTGCCCTCATAGCTGCTGATCCATGGAAATCACAAGTAACACTGAAAGGTTGTGGCTTTTGTAAAGGGGATTGTGGTTCAAATACATGTGTTCTGACCTCATGAGAATATCCATACATAGACTGATTGGCTAATCTTCCAGTATTTTTCTCAACGCATCTCAACCTACTTACGTATTGTTGAGAATTTAATACAAGTTCTCCGTTGCTGAACTATCTTTAGGAGCTGTGGGGAAGAACTTACTTTAAATGTTACAGAGAAGCTCTTCTGCATCTACTTTAAAAAGAAAACTGGTTATAGTGTGACAGGTTTTGTGTTTGCAGCTGCACTGGGAATGTGAGAGACTTGATACTGCTTATGTCTTAAAATTAAATTTCATTCTAAAATTAAACGATGGGGAAGGTTTCTTTGTGGACTTAAAGGTGTTGGACAGAGCAATGGGATTCACCTAGGTGTATGATTACTACTTAACTAAAATTCATTGTTAAAACTACTATAATTACTTGCCTCTGTGCAAATTAGCAATGCTGATGAACTCATGAATGATGAAGCTGGGGTAAATACAGGCTTTGCTTTTGAACTGCTTTTGCCAGGGCAACGTACAGTCAGCACTTGGGAAGCTTTTTAGTCAGTCTGGTTTTGGGTAATCTCTGAAAGCATCTTGCAACACAAGGGTCATATCCACTACTGTCTAAAATAGAAAATTTATTTTTACTCTGGTTCCATCTTTACTGTAAAAACCCCTCTTTCTGAAGGGTTGCCTGAAAATCCAAGTGAGATGTTATATTTGATTAAATTTATTCTCTTAATATAATGTAAATATAAGTATTGCTGTCTGTTTCTGTTTCAGTATTCCCTCCTTTTTTTTTGTTTTTGTTAAATGGCTTGTATCAGAGTCTTTTTATATACATATATCTTTTTTCATTAAATAGTTTTCTCCATGCTTTGGAAATGTTGCTGTTTTTAGGTTTGTCAGTGAGTGGGGGAAAATGGAAACTCTTCAGAGGCCAGACAAAATACGATTTTAAAAGAAGTGTAAGAGAGGTATAAATTCAGTTGATAATCTCATGTTAAAACAAGCTTAGAACATCTGCCACGTGAGTCGGCCCCCACTCCCTTCCACCCCACTACCAGTGCCCCACATGTACTTGATTGCAGGGTAGTGAGATTTTAATACAGCTAGAATCTGGAGATGTTTAGAACAAAATCCTGTGTCTAAAAATGTGATGCTTAGCCGAAGTCATAGGTATGGCGGTTTTAGATTGATTGGCAAAAGGTCTAGGTTTTGCTTTGCTGTTGTTTTAACTAAGGCTTCATAAATATGCAATGACCCGCACTTTGAACTAACACAAAATTACACATGCAAACATAGTTTTGCAATGTGGTTGTTCGCAATCTAGTTAAGACAAAAGTTTTAGCAATATTAGTTGATAATTGTATAAGTGTCCTGACTGCATTCTTGTATTATACTCTAGTTGTTTGCACAATTCAATTATTCAGATATAATTTGAGTGGACAAGTTCTGTCTTGTCACACCTGATGCTCAGAAAGCAAGTGCTAGTTTGCAGAGGGATTTTTGAGCAGCTGAAATATGATGATGAAATTTGGAACTTTATCTGTCAATAGAGGCAAAGATTATGCATACGCAGTCTTACTTTAATCTTCTGATAATGTGAGCATGGAATCCCTTGAAAAATACAAGGTAACAGAGTATTTAGCTAGCAACTGCAAAAATGTTAAAGTATGTACTGTTGTTGCAGTATTTGCCATGCACCTGATAAAACTGAAACTTGGGGAACAACTGGGGAAAATTCATTTTTAATGTATGCATGGAGTTCTGCACCTTAATGTGTTTTGGTTTTCTCTGCCAGAAAACAGGATCACATGTTCACTAACAGCTGTAAGGATAAAGTGGACTGCGTGGTGAGATTTGGAGGTACATGAGATTATTCCCGTCTTGGAATTTTAGAAGTTCAAACTATTCTAGTTTGTCCATAGACTTACTTATTTTTAAAAATTCTTCAAGTATTTTATATGCACTCAATCTTTCTCAGATTCTTGTAGGCCCTTTCCCATAGGGGAACCCTTACTTGCCTGTAATCCCTGAGGAATCTAGTGACTTTTTCCTTAAAGCCTTTTATTAAGCCCTAGTTTTGAGTTCCATGGGGGGTTTTCTGGTGTTTTTTTTTTCCTCCATGTACACAAGCAATCTGCCTACTGTTGATAGGACTTGGTATCTGAGTGCTACTATCTCATGGACATGTTTCGTCTTTCCAGAATTCAAACGCTTGTATAGAATATCTAGGATAAGCATCTATAGTCAAAAATGATACATGTATATTAAAAAAAGCAGAACAGGGTCTTATTTCTGACCCATAGCATGGCTCAACTCACTGCTCTGAAGCTCTCCTCTCCTACTACAACCAGAGTACCTGCATCCAGGCTGGTTTTTGGCAGCAGCCTGTGGCACACGTGGTCCCCATGGCAATGCCAAGCAGCATTTGGGAGAGGTTAATTTGCATTGGTGAAAATCCAGCCAAGGAGTGTGCTAGATGCGAAATTTTATGGGATGATCACTGTGTTCTCTCCCCGTTTTATTTACTTGCATAATGTGGCCACGTAAAGGAATCTGGCAATATCAAGCCTGGTAACACTTAAGGATGCCATACATGAAAGTTGAATTCTCAAGATGGTATATGAAGTTTGTGTGCTAACTGCTTTTATTAAATGAGCATTTAATTTGTATTAATGTATCCTTAACAAGAATATCAATGCTTCATCATCACTGCTGTAGTGATTTGGGAGTTTTCAGTTTAAATGTATGTAGCAGAATTTTAACCTTACCTTGTATATGAACATCATAGGAGTTTGCACTTTCAGTTTCTACTGAATAATAATCCGATTTATTGAACTGGTAAACTCTGCTACTGTTTGTGAAAGAGAATTGGGGAAGAAAAAATCTGGTTAAATAGTGCTGAGGGAATGACTGAGTCATGAGGCGTAAAGCCACTTAAATGGCATTGAGTGTGATACTACAGCGGGAAGAGATTGGGGTATTTCCTGCATGCAGGTACTGAGTGTGAAGGTAGTTGAAGTTCAGCTGGTATGGCTTACTTGCTCTGTCAGCTTTGCTCCCTTTTGGAAAGAACGGCTTTAAGGTATACTTCTTTTTCCATGGTGGTTGTTTTCCAAAATGCTTGGAAAGTAGGAGAAATAGAAAAATAGTTACTGTTCTGCCCCGCTTTTGTCTCCCCTTCCACTCTTAAACAGTCTTACAGAAATTTAAGAAAGAAATGAAAAGCAGCAGTTCTGGATAAAACATGCCACAATATTGCTGTTCAGTCCTCCCAAATACTGCAGGCTAATTGGATTCCAAATGCACTTCTGTTCCAATCAAAAATTTCCTTTGCATTTAGATGTAAATTGACTGTAGATCTGCTTTGTCTGGGAGGTCTGCTATGTTTTTTTAACTAACATAAACAAAACATCTTTGATTGCTGTAGGATGTCTTGTTTACTTGGGCCTTTGCATAAGAGTTGCTCAAGTCTCTTAGAACTGGAAGACCTAAAACTTAGGTCAATAAGATCAAATTAGTAGAATTCTAATAGTGAGCCTGGAGAGTTAAACCCACTAATTCCTAGTGTGATCGCTTTTTTTCTCTACTCTACATGCTTGTGTTAGGTGAGGGCAGGACTGCAATGCCAGTGTGCTACTCAGCCTCCTCCACTGCTGTCCTGTTGTTGCCGGCTTGCACAGATGGGTGGGGAAGCCTTCTGGGGGGTTGGATTCCAGAGTTAACATGCTTCTGTGGAACAAAACAGGCATCAAAAGTAGCTGGTACGCGAATATTGCATCCTCCGCTTTCAGAGCGCACCTCCGCTGGAAGCTTTTATTTGCATGGGAGCAAATGGTAGGGGTAATACAAGTCTCTATTTTGGAGTCAGGAGCTTACTTTTCTTCAATGGCAATGCAGGGAGTCTGATATTAAGAGTCGGAAATGGAGACTGCAAATGCTTCTCATCTGTAGCTTTTGCTAGCTCCTGAGGGCAATAGTAAGATGACTGATGATTTGTGATTCTGCACTCTCCCTGAGAAGAGAAACGTATTAACAACATTGGTTTTTATGCAGCAATAAAAGTCACGGGTCTACCGTTATCGTGAGACCAAGGGGGGAGAATCTGCCTGTACTTTGCCTTTTAAGGAGCAAGCCTATGTGGGCTATATTTCATTTTACCTACGGCTCTCATCCGTAAAGGTTTTCAGGCGTTACCTCTGTATCGCTTTAATACTCCTCTTTACAATAACAAGGATCATCTCTTCTAGTTCTCCTGGCATTCGAGGCCTGTGCTTTAATACTACGTAGAGAGGTATGTACCTGGCTGGAGGCACTCTGTTTTAAGGCTATGAATAGAAATCTTTTCATAACGCTGTTCAGCCTGCTGTCTTTCTGCCTATGAATATTTTAGTTGTGAACTGCAAAAAATAGGTTTGTGGGGTGTGGGAAGAAGGATGGGGGCGTGGAGCACATGCTGGGAATTTCCCAGCAACTGACATATGTTCTGGTCGCCAGTGGTTTAGCATCACTTCTCCAAGAGTTTGCCGCTATCAAGATTTTTGCTGGGACGGTAGGGCTGCATTATGGTAGCTGTAGGTTTTTACTCACATTTTTCTACTGTTTTGTTCTTGCTGCTGGCAGTCACTATTAGCCATTGCTTGGGACTGAAATGCAAAGAACATCAATATCCTTTCGGTGAAAAATGCTGCAAGGACTGTGCCCCTGGTAAGTAACTTTCACTGGATGTTGGTTATACTTGCTCGATGTAATATTTATCAGTTAATAACCCACAGGTGGTAGAAAACAGCTTGATGGAAATATTCAAAGGTAGGAAGCATAACATGGAGAAAAAGCATTTGATGAGGACAGTTTCATATCAGGCTAGACTGGCAAAGATTATTTCTATAACATACTAAATTTAGGAATCCTCTTTGAAAGAGCTACGTGTTCTTCAACTTCTTTTGTGTGGCTCAGCTTCCTTAATGTGTCAGTCTGGTGCGTTTTCATTGTGGGAGTATTAGCTGAGAAAAGATGGTAGCATTTATGTTACTGTCCTTTACCTATCACATAAAGAAGCTCAGAAATCTTGCATAATAATGGAAAACTGTAGGTAATTAATTCTGTTGCTAAAGATGTTTTTCAAGCTTTCTTTTGTAGCAAGGTTTATACTACTTGGTGTGGTTTTTTTAAGAAAAAAGATATGCTTGATTCATGGACTGAGATTAGCAAAGCGTAACTTGATAGGAAATGTGTTTGTTTCCTCCTTTCTTATTGTAGAAACTGAATGAGTCTGAATTCTGGGATTTGCATGCCTATGTGTGTATTTTTCCACAATCTGAATATCTCTGAAGGCAATGCAGTATTGAGAAGCACAAATGCAAAATATCAAACCTCAAATACTTTAATAGTTGGGATTTCATTATAGAAGTGACTTAGTGATGAAGAGTAACAACAATTAACAGGTAATGTTGCTGTTCAAGGAGCAATCCCCTTAACAGAAAAGAGATTATTTTTAGTACAGTCAACATTGACTGTACTAAAAGAAGGGTACATCTGCGCACCTAGAGGGAGCATAGATCGTGTCTGTAAATGCAGTTGCAGCTTAGTCTTGCGTATGATTTTATATGCGTCTTTCGGAACAGTTACTTCCTCTTTTCATAATTAAGTCTACTACACAAAATGGATATGGTATGAACTGTTGCAATAGTATTATCTTCAGAGATGCTAATTGGAATAAATTCAACCTTTAATCTAAGACTTGAGGGAGTTTATTGCATTATTCTCAAAACTATTTAAATCTGACTGTTTCTGATCTCAGTTTAAAGAAAGGCATGCTTATATGCAGATACAGATAATCCTTTATCTCTGAAGTTTTTTGTTCCTCCTTATGCTGGAAGACTTCTGTCAGGTTTTTTGCATTGTTAGCAAATCTGCTGCTGTTGGGGGAACATTTCTTCATAGTCTCTTCCTGATTGTGTAGATGGTAAAAATGTAGAAGTGTATTGCATATATCGTGGTCACCACAAATCTCCTTTATTTTGCCACTGATAGCACTCAATAAAATACAGAGAAAATTAGAGTGAGCAAGAGACTTGGTGCTCATTGTTCATGTACAGAATGGGAAAATGGAGAACCAAAATGAAAGACACAGTCTGAGAATAAGGACGTATTTAAGCTCAACTGTAAAACCCCTAGTCATTCAAGCTGTCTATAGTTCCTGCAGCCTGTGCTGTATGGAGAGAAGCTAGTGAGATAGAAGGAACGTGTCTGACTCCTTTTCCGAAATCCACTGTTAACTTGCTGTTTCAGTTTGGGCAAGTCGCTTTGCTCACAAACCTTGTCATCCTAGCGCATCAATCTGAACTTCTGTGTAAGTACTGTGTATCATACAGGTTGGAATTTGTGGGTGCAAGCATTCAGAGCCTGTTCCTGAATGCAATCTGTGATACACACATACTGTTCGGAATAGTAACAAATGCCTGCCTTACATCTTGCGCTGTGTCTCGCTGTTTTTGAAATGGAGCTAGTAACATCTTTGATGTTGGGTGCCAGAACAGATGCATATCAAAATACAATGCATTCTTTCATGCCTAATGGGCTTTCAGAATGCCAACAGCAAGATGCTACAAACATTTATTCTTGACTGCATCACTAATGAATTTTCTGCAAACCTGAGCAGTCCATTACCATCTCTTGTACCTGGTTGGGATTACTTTGCGTTGAATTGCTTGATTTATCTCATAAGGGAAGACAGGATCTGTCATAAAGCCATTGTATTACATATTGCTATGCCAAAAACCTGCGCTTTTTTCCTGACAGACATTGGCTGCAAACTGTGATGTCTAAACCATATGAAAAGGTGGTCTGGAGAAGTGATATTTGGAATCCACTGGGAGAATCATTTGGGGCATTGCCTCAACTCTCAGCAAGTCATCAGGCCCCTACTAGCCCATTTTAGCCGCTTAATTTACAGCGATGCTATGGGTCAAAACTTCTAGGGATTCTGGCATGTCTAAATCTGCTGAATGTCTTCAGCCAGAGTTGTAAGTGGAACTGTCACTTTCTGGGCACTCTTTCATTCTAATGCATGAAAATGAAGAGGGTTTCCTTCTGATAACCATCACTTCCTCCTTCTACGTGGTCTTTGTTTTAGGTGAAAGAATGAGAAGCCGCTGCACAGCAGCAACAGACACAGTCTGTGCCCCCTGTCAAGATGAATACTTTAGTAGTGAGCACAACCACAACTTCTGCAAGAGTTGTACAATCTGCAACACAAGTAAGTCAGCTGTATAGTGGTCATTTCTTGATACAAATTTGGGAAGCAATCAGTCTTCACATGCTTTCTTATCTTTGCGCACACCTCAAAGGCCTGTTGCTTGAGACGACTAAGACCAAAGACTGGGTTGTTACTTCAATAGCTGATATCTCCTGGTTGGTAGTGATGGTAGAGCCTTCAAAGGGAAGCAGGCTTGCACTGCCTGAAAACTGGTGTCTTCAGAATTGTTAATAAGCTCTGTTCTCTGCAGTTGTTTCTACACACAACAGATAGGCACTGAGTAATTACTTTTTTTTTCTTTCTTATTTATTGTCTCTCGCTTGCCCTAAAAAAAAATAATTACTCAGTGCCTTTCTTATTTATTGTCTCTCGCTTGCCCTTTATTCTATTGTTGCTAGGGAAGGGGAGCGTGGAAGTGAAGAAGTGCGAGAAGACCTCTGACAGGATTTGCATGTGTGTTGCAGGTTACATGCCAGATGTCAGCTATACGCTGGGAAGCGGTAAGTTAGTGCTGTGTCAGACTCTCCAAACTCTTGCCTCCACCTCAGATGAGATGGTTGTTATTTCTAGTGTAAAAGCTGTTGTCATTTGTCTCGTCGGTATCTCCACACAAGTGTTATAGCAGGGTAGTTGTGCAAACTGTTGCTCTGTGATTCCTGAGCTGTCAGAAATCTTAATGCTCTCCTTGTTAATATCCATAATTAGCCAGTAGAGAAAACGGGAAACCTTGCCAGTTGCAGAATAAAATGAACCACTGAGCATGCTGTGTTACTTCTGACCCAATAACTATGGTTTTTAGAGGCTAGGTGGGTTTGGTTGGGTCTATTCTATAAGCTAGACTACTAGTATAAGCTATTAGTGTAACTACTGTGTAGCTGTCATACAGTTATGTTGCTAACTGAACTCAAATTCTGCCTCTTTTCTTTTTTTCCAGTATGCTCACCATGTCCTGAAGGATCTTATTCCAAAGGGGGAAATGAAAACTGTCAACCTTGGACCAAGTATGTATCACTGATCCAAACATGTTCAGGGCAACATTTTGGGTTTACTTCTGCAGCAATTGATGCCCAAATCATGGTGTGTAGAGTAAACCTGCAGTAGATGCAATGAAACCATGTTCTTTGTGACTCCCGGGAGCCTTGAGCAGTCTGTGTACTGATTTGAAGCATCTGTCTGCCTTCCCCCCTTTCTCTCTTCACCTGTGGCAACAACAGTATTCTCAGCCTTTTTTTTTTTTTAAAGGTCTGGATGTTTTGTGTCTGTAGCAAAGGTTTCCTTGCCAAATGCAGCCATGCTTCAAGGCTGTTACATGCACAGATGCTAAGAAAAACAGAATGTCAGTTTTTTTTCCAATAATGACTTTGATTAGCTTAGTTGTTCTTCACATACCTGTAGAATCTAGAAAAGGTGAAGCCTGAGTTTGTACTGATAAAACAAGGATTGTAATGTTCACTCACTTGTTCCATAGCGATCACTTACAAAGTCATTACTGCAACTGTTTGGAAAACTACACTAATTTATTTTACATCTCCAGCTGCAGCGTTCTTGGGAAAAATACTCTTCGGCAAGGGACAAAAACAGATGATGCTGTTTGCAGCAACCATGTCACACAGCCAGCTACCTCTCAGAATGCAACACCTGCTTTGAATCTTTCCACCACTGATGACAAGAATAATGTGTCGACTGCAGTGTTCTCACCGTCCAGACCCAGTGTGATCCCTTTCATTTGCCCGGATACGAACAGCCCCACAGAGACTAACTGGGGTAAGGAGAGGGAATGACCAAGTCTAGTCTCTCTCTTTACTAGAGCTGGTCAGGAATTTTCACCTGAAACTGATTTCATTGGAAATGAAATCACACTCTTTCTCAGAAGCCATATCTGTATTTTACACAGTCTTTCAGTGAGATTCAGTCACAGGATTCCAGACTTCTTGCTAGTCTGCTTGGCAGCTGGGACTTTTAGGCTTTAGGGTTCAGGGGTACTTCTGGAGTTCTAGGTTCCTTCTTTTGAAGCTGGAAAGCCATGGAAACTCCAGCTAGAACCATGAATCTTTTTTAGTGTATTCTTCTTGTGTTTTTCTTTCAGGGTCTTTATCACTTATCCTTATTTGTCTGGTATTGCTCGTTGTGAGTGGAATGTCCATCCTCCTGTTGGTTATCCAAGCAGCCAAAAAAGAGACCAAGAAGAGGCCTTTTAGAAACAACCATCGGCGTGAGTTTCTTTTTATGGGTAAAAATGTATAGGAAAGAGAATAATCAGGGCCCCCTATTTGAACTTTTGATAATTGTTTCAATCATAATGAAGTCTACCTGGCTAAGTAGCACAGTGTCATCTGCAGTTAATACCAGTTGTTGATCTTCTATTTAGTCCTGATGCACTGGAGGTCATAGTGTCTTAAGTTTGCATTCTTATAGAGCACAGATTCCTCTGCTTGTTGCCATGCAGAAGGATTCTCTCTCTTTCTCTGATTTTAACTCCTCCTAGCTTTTTCCTCCCTTAGTCCCTGCAAAAATGATGTAATGATTTTGTGCAGGGAATTCTATTCAGTACAGAGAGGATCCAGAATCAACAGTCTTTAAAAGAGTATATTGTGAACTTTTTTGCCTACATAGAAGTGAACTGTTTTGAAGTGTCTCCTGCAAACACAGGAAAGGTTTGACTGAGAAGAGCTGAACTCTATATTCAGAATTAAGTGGCAGCCTGGCTCTTGAGTCAGCCCACAGCTGCCTCATGTTCCATTCATAGAGCAATGGTAAAGTGTATTTTAAATGTTCCCAACACTTGGTGTTTCTTAGCACTGGCTGGAAAGACAAGCACCGACCCAAATGTCACTCACAGGTGCCTAGTCATCCACGAAACTAGAAAAGTCCCTGGCTTCCCTTTCCTGCCCCTTCTACTCTGTATAGTATTTATTTTTTTTTATCTGTCTTTCAGAAGAAAGGAGCGTCCGAATTCCTATCCAGGAAGAACACATTGACTGCAATTCTAGTCTCATAAAAAACTGACTCTACATTACTGTTTCCTGCATTTCTGAGCTGATCGATTGTAACAAGTAACGTGACAGAGCACTCTGTGGCTATGTGTGGATGTGTGTAACTGTTTAATTGCACTTCAGTTCCTTCGGGTCTCGTTGAGCGGCCCCTTTGGCATTAGGGCCCATGGGAGTAGCTGTTCTTGGTGGAATCATGTGATTCTTTCTCTTAGGCAGATCCTGCGCACAGCATCCCTGTTGCCAGGACTGAGTTGATATAGTCCCCTGTGCATTTCTAGCCAATTCTGTATGTAGTGATGGGTAGTTTTCTTTGGACCAAACAAAGTGTTTATGAAGCTGTAAGAGCGGGTCATTGAGCAGACAGCAAAACAGGGAAGTCAAAAGACCTGCTTATATTTTGTCTTACAATTCTGAGATGCTAAGCAGAGCATGTCTCTCTTTTCTCAGTGCAGGTATCTCCAGTGTTTCAGTCTAGTTCCCAAATGAACTCTCCTTGCTTTAGGGGAAGAATCTCCCTTGATGAACCTAGCCAGCTTCCTTCGTGCTTCCAATTTTTCAAGTTGTTTCTTCTTGGTCAAATTGAGTGGCATATGTCAGCTGTGCCTCCAGAGACAGTTGTCACTGCTGGTAACTCTCGTGCTGGCTGTGCACCAGAATAGCACCAGAATTCTGGTGCTAGCTGTTAAGTGACTGTTGGGAGATGGCTATTCAATGCCACTTCTCTCTTTTCTGCATTTCTTCAAACATACCCATTGAGAAAATGTCATGTTAACATATTGAGCAGTATCCCTGTTGTCAGGCCAACAAATGGAATTACTCATAATCGTCAGGTAGCTCCAGATCTCTGAGTGTTTGGAAATCTCCATGGAGATCTTCATGCATGTGGAAAGTAGACTATGTGGATTGTCAGAAGGCAAAGGGAATGGTAATTTCTGATTAGAACATTATTAGTGGAAACTGTAGTTCAAAATAGGGGGAAAGGTGTAGAGTACCACTTGTCTGCACTGTAAACTTTAGTAGTTGCCATGTATAACTAACATTTTATCTGTAAGCCCTGTGCAGCCGACACGCTGTGTGCTTCCTCTTGGTGGACATCCTGTTGTGCTGAATACCCTGGTGTGTCTATCATCAGCAAGGCTGCTTCAGTCAAGCTTGGACATCTCCACACTAAAACTGTTTATCTTAAACCACTTCTGTGGGACTTGATTGCTTGCTGTGGGTGTAGGGAGAAACCCACGAGCAAGTTGGTTCCAGGCAGTGCTCTGGATTTGGGGAAAGTCTTTTTGTCTTAAGTTTAGGAGCATGTATGTGGACATTTAAAGTTTTTCTGCTGATGAATGATAATTTTTTGGTGGTTTAGAAAAGAGCAACTCCTTAGATGCTGTCTGTTGATAAGAGGCGAGACCTGAACTCTTAACGCAGCGCTGACTCTCAGGGCCTTCGAGGGTTGCATCTTTAGCAAAGACGTGCAAAGATCATGTAACAGTGGATAAGATGCCTAAACTATGCTCTGACCATTCATCTGGATGATCACCTTGCGCATACTGTCAATGGAACCTGCATTCAGAACTGAAGAAGTGTTCTTGATTTGGTCTCTGTGCAGTTAAAATACCTGGTTGTTTGCCTGTACACTGTATGAAATGAATTTTACTTCTGTAACATTTTACCACAAGTTAATCAGTCTGTAGTTTTGGAAAGCATTCAAATTTTAGGTAGCAAGTTCAAAACCTGAAGTGTCTGAGAGCAACCTGGAGTGTTACTGTCGATAGCTTTTGATATAATTTAAATACCTCAGTGTAAATATTCAAGAAGAAGTAAACTCGAAAGTTCTATAATTCAGAAGTGTTTTTCACTTCAAATATAACTCCTCAGTAGATAACTCACTAGATATAGGTATTTTATATACACAGTACCAAAGCATATGCCAAAATATGCAACAGGAAATGTATTCAAGAATACAACTGGTGTCTAGAAACATGTTTTTAAACATATGTTTTCTTATATGTTATACATATGGCGTCCTTAGCAGTGACTTCCTATTTTGAGGTGCATATACAATGTATATAAACATTTGTATTATATATGAAGTGTCACAGTGACTTTTTGAAATAAATTGTGGTAGCAGCTAGATGCGCATGTATGATGTGTGTGATTGGAGAGTGCAAATGAGCAAAAAGTTACTCCAGTTCGCACAGAAAGCAGGATCACCAAATGGTCAATCCTGTGGCTTAGCAGGCTTTGAGATCACATGCTGCCTTGCCCCTGGCTTTGTGTGCAACTTGAGAAAGCTGCGTGTAGTGTTTTTCTCTGTAAATCTGGCCTGGCAGCAGTTCTGACCTGAGAGTTGCTGGGACTTTCAGGATGATAAGGCTCAGCCCCATCAAAAACACAGAGTCCCTGTTGTGAATGTAGAGCTCTTTGGAAGTGTGCTGTGGTTTGAATGCTGTCATCTTGCAGTGAATTGGATGGCGAAGTGCGATGGATGAATCTGAGAAATGCATTCCAGGGAACACCCAACAAATTCTGAGAAACGATGCTTATCAAGTTTGTAGGCTGTACTTCAGAGGCAATAAAGCAAGTACCACGTTTCCATGTAACTGAGGAAGGTGCAGATAACTAATGAGATATCTGAGGTTGTGGGGCTGTATGGTGAAAACGCAGCCCACAGGAACAGATGAGCTGTTGGCTTGACAGAAGTGCTGCAGTGGCAGCAGAGCTCCTCTGTGGTGCGAGCTCTTCAGCTGTTTCCACGAATCTTGCTTGTTTTCTGCCCTCTGGCTCAGCTGCACAGGAGGATGCCCGCGTGCACTGTGTTCTTGTGCCTTCCTACAGCCTCCCGACCAGGAGTTTTTCCTGCAAACTAGGGCGTGGGTTCCCTCTGGCTGCAGAAGGAACTGATGCTGGCCCTGGAAGCGCACAGCAGAGGTAGCGTAGCTGAGGGCAAGTTGCATTTGCTCATCAACATTTGGAAAACTGAAGACAGACAATTCAGCGTGCTGGGTGGCTGAAGGCCTGTAATAGTGAGCCCTCACAGGCTGTAATTGCTGGCTTTTGTGCTAATGCATACCTGTGAGCCAGTCTGTGCTGGCTGTACTGTGCCGAGACGTATAATCCTATCCGAAGAGTGAAACCATAATAACATTTGATAGGATTGGAGGCATTTATGATGTGATTTTTTTTTTTTGAGGATTTGGGTGTTGGTAGACTGTCGGTTTAAATAAACTAATGTAGATATTTCACTCTAAATAAAATAATTTTTTTTTTAATCGCCATGTTCAGTCTTGTCACTCTTCTGTGAAAAACTTGTTTGGATTTTTTGTTCCAATCCTCCCTAAAATGGCAGAAAGTAGTTAAAAATAGGCAGAGAATCTTGAACAAATTGGTACTGCCTTCTGCCCACACTTGTCGTCCTATGTGCCAGAAGTGAAACTTTCCCTTCTCAAAGGTATGGGCCTGTGTCACAAAGTAAGTTCCTGTTTTTCAACCATTCAGATTTCCCCGTTTTCAAGCACTTGACAGAGACACGGTCTAAGTTGTGCAGCTTCGTCTAACCTGATAACAAGAGGGCTGTACTGGAAATTTTTTTCCAGTGTAGTGCAGTAAGATGAGGTGTCAGTTCTTCTTTCATTCTGCAAACCAATGCGAACCCTGGTTTTGGTGTGAACCATATTGGCAGTTAGAGTACTTGGTAAACCTATATGATTTGTAAATTAAATGCATCTTGGTTGCCGTAGAGCCCTGATTCAGGAGGTCACTTAAGCACATGCAAAACTGCATGAATGTTGTCACTAAAATTTGGCCTCTTGATTATTTTAAGAACCATCTGTAAAACTAACTAATAATTCCTATAACTTTGTATTTCTGGGTGAGAATAACACCATTTCTTCATGAATAATTAACTTCTTTTCAACTGCACTAGCCATGAGTTACAGGCCATGTGGCCAGCCCCTTACATTGTTTGTTTGTTTGTAATTAGCTACAGACAGAGGTTAGGTCAGATTGCTACAAAAAAACCCAGGAGGAAAACCAAACAAAAAAACAACCCCTCTTGTCTTTGGGATTTCTATCTACCAATGTTTTTTCTCTCTTAGATGTGAGGCTATCACATACGGCTGCCTGGAGTTTTAACAAGGCTATTTGTTTAAAATCAAGGTTGGTTTTCTTGTGTCTTATTGTGTTGCTGCATTCAGTTCTGGAGAAGCATTAGGACAAGAACAGATAGTATTTGAGAGCCGTGTTGGAAAAAATTTATATAAATGAGCTGGGTTTTGCAGTTCTTGGAACGTTCCTTTCAGATTCTGCAGTTCTTGAATGCTCCTTTCAGACTGCAGATTTGGCAGTTAACGTATGTATTTCATGTTTTAGTAGTTACTAAATTAAAAAAAAAAAAAAACACACAAATCCAAATCATCAGCAGCATACCTTTTATGCATGGGTGAGTAGTAGAAGTTGTTAATAACCTGTAAACTCACCACAGGTTCGTAAGTTTATGCTTTTTGTGTTCATTTCCTCCTTTGTCTTTTTTTTTTTTGGTTTTCCCCTACAAATATATGACAAGTTTCCGCTCCTGTGGCTACCCCAGTTCCTTTATCTCCTGCGTTTTCTCTTCACATTCTCCTGTGGCTTAGAAGTGCATCAAAGTGACTCAGGTTTGCCATGAGAGACTTAAGAAAGGTCACATCTGCTGATAGACACCATGCCAGGTGCTCAGCTGGAGAGGAAATACACAGCTTGGTAATGTCAGGGACTTGGGGTTTTTGTCTCTGTCTGGTTTGGTTTTCCTCTGTGAAATGTCAGTCACGTTACTGCCTGGCCTCTGCTCCGTTGGGATTGTCTGCAAGGAGTCGCCGCTTTCGGCGGCCGGGCTGTGCCAGCAACCCAGAGAGGTGACACTGAGACTCATTCCACAGGCTAAGGCAGAGCTCTCATCAGTGCGTGCTGCAGGGTCCTTAGTGCTGCTCGAAGGAAGGATCCAGGGGTCTTTACAAAGCCCTAATTGTTTCGGGGTGAGAATTTAACTTGCCTCGGGAACCCGCGTGTGG